TCTCCCTCTACCCTCCCAGTATCGCCACCTCACACCACTGGTCCTGTAGGGATCATCCGCCCTGGGTTCCCTGTATTTCCAGTTCCTATCTGTACCAGTGTACATCCTCTGGTCTAGCCAGACTTGCTAGGTAGAATTCAGACCATGATAGTGGGAGCGGGGAGGAAACATTTAGGAACTAGAGGAAAGTTGCATTCTTCATTGTTGCTACATCGCACCCTTACTGATAGCCTTATATTGTTCACAGAACACTTTCAAGTGATTGAATCTGGGTCTAGTACACACTTCTTTTTGAGGATAATCAGTGTCAGTGCTGTTTGAAGGATAACACTTTTGAAAAAGGAAAGAAAAGCACACAAAAAACATTAATTGGGATGTGCACTATATGAGGGACCCTTCAAAAAATTCGTGGAAAAATATACCATTCTCTTTAAACATCATCTTTCCATGAAATTTTTGAAGCCCCTTCAGATACAAGACAGCTTGTAAATAAATAGTATGGGCTGTTCTCCAGGATCTTGAAAATATACAACACCATGCAGACACCTGTGCATGGAATGTAGCAGAACAACAGCCCAAAGCCTTGACTTATTCTGAACATATTAGTACCATGGTGAAAGATTTGTTGGTCAATTAACTAGTTGACTATTACCCTTATCACTTCAGTAACCAGTAGGAAACCTCTTTGTCTTTGCGGTGGCATTACCGAGGGAAGTTGGTCACATTAGGGCTAACATGAGGGTGTGTGTTTTACATACTGGCTCTTAGAGATTGTCCAGGAGGATGATTTAGCTCCCAGAGTAATGACTGGCTTCATAACTTACCCCCATAAGTGGCTTCCTTCTTCTTCATTGTCTCTTTTTCATTTGCCTTTTTCTTCACTTTCCAAATACTTGGTATTTGAATCCTAGTCTTGGTGTTAGGAAAGGGAGCCAGTGGGAGGTCTGCTTCTGGGAACCCAAACTGAGACAGAGCCTATAACTTCCCTGTAACTATTTTTAATGTATTTATATGAACATCTCATAACCTTCTGAAAATTTGGCAGCTATATCACTTCTTTGAACATCAACCTGTTTCCCTCATCAGGCTGTTCACCCATATTTAGCTTAATGAGTTAGATTACACAGAATATTATAACAACTACTATTTGATTGTTTCTCCAGAAGTTGACCCATGTTCTGATTAAATAATTGACTGCCCATGTAGTATGATCTCAGGCACCCCAAGCAAGCTGTCTAGAACAGTTCCAACAGGAGACTGCCTGTCTGAGATCTTTTGTATTATCCACCCCAGCCCTCCTCCCACCACCACCCTCCACACAAAACAAACAACCCCAAACAATTGGCTCCATTTGTTTACCATGAAGAGCCCATTCATAGAACTCAGGTAGCTGACTTCTGTATACAAGGTAGAATTGAAAATAGCAGTGCAAGCCTGGAAGCTCTGCTAAAGAAACACTGGCCTGTAGAACTCCAGCAGTGACAAAGAACACCGAGCCTGCACTCCTACTGGTGGCGAATTTTGTCCTGCAGTCTCCAGTAGGGAAGAAAAGCCTTGAGAGCTCTAGGGCTCCCTCTACTGTCGGATAAGAGAACCTTATTTCCCTTACCTTTCAAGTGGAGATAGGAATATTTTACATATAACTTGTGCTTCTGTACTTTTAAATAGAAAAATCTGTTTAATTTGGATCCATTCAGTCAGTTTCCCCCAAAGTAGGTATTATTACTCACACAAGTAAAAACCAATTTCTCGATGTAAACGTAGAACTGTAGATGAAGCTGGAAAAGAAACAAGGTAGTTTCTTAAATAAAGAGATTTATTTCTAAAGCAAAATGCATCAAAGCAAAGACCCTGGGCTGTATTGTATACTTATCTAGGATTTTCATATTTCTTTCCATCTAAAAGCACGAAGTTTGGTTTCACCTTTTTATCAGAAGTGAACCAGTTTGTGTTCATGGTATTTGAAATATATAAATATAGGGGAAATGCTTTCCCTTTAAAATATTCTAAAAGTTAGAACTTAACATGGTTAGACTTCAGTTATAACTAATTCTCTGACAAATATCCTTTTTTTCCCTACTGCTTTTTTAAAGTACTGCTTAATTTTAAGGGCATTGTTTAAAACATCTCACTTGAATTATCTACAGGCAAATTACACATAATTAAGTGGAAAGCATTTTGTCATCTGTTACACATGACTTGTCTGTACACTGGCATCAGAGAAGCCATGTTATTAAGACGACTCAGTTTTGCATCAGCCATAAGAGTCTGTTATTGTTACTCCAGCTTGTTTTGTTGGTATATACATATAGTATGTTAAATTGACCTATGAAATGGAAATTTACTTACTAGGAAAACCATCTTCAGATATAACACCGAAACCCAAGAGAACTCCGAAGCAGAAGACAATAGAGACTGTAAACTCTGACTCAGATTCAGAATTTGGTGTCCCAAAGAAGACCGTAACACCCAAAGGTGAGTCTTACAATTGTACAACGATCTAGCTTTGTGGAACCATTTAGTCCCTCACTGATGGAATTGTAAAAGGATGGCCACCTGTTTCACTCTATATTGCTTATTCAACATGTAATGTGTCTCTTGGCACTGAGTTAAGAGTCTGAAAGAACTATAGCAGTTTTTGGCCTGGTCACTTTAACAACTCAGAAGTTAGACTGGAAGAGTTTAACTCCGTGGTCCCCCAGGACTAGTGTCACCCAGTGTGGTAACTCGGCACCCCTCCTCCTTTACCAGACCCTGCAGCATTTTTAGTAGTGGTTACTATCAATCTAATTCTAGAATAATAGGGGGTGTAGTGGTAAAGTGCTTCAATGTAATATTTCTTAAGTTACATGAATACTAATGTTCATTTTATGAAATCTTTCTACATATTATTTAGCTACAACAGTGGTTCTCAACCTTCCTAATGCCACGGCCCTTTCATACAGTTTCTCATGTGATGGTGACCCCCAACCATAACATTATTTTTGTTGCTACTTCATCACTGTCATTTTGCTACTGTTATGAATCGGGTGACCCCTGTGAAAGGGTCGTTTGACTTCCAAAGGGGTCGTGGTGACTCACAGGTTGAGAACCACTGAGTTACAACATTATTAGTACCTGAGTGGATGGAAGCTTTTCCCTCCTTTTCCTTTAATTACCACTTTATTCTCAAAGTTGTTGCTGTAGGTTCACAAGTGCTAATTATAGCTAAAGCACCAGAGTATTTGACAAAACCAGTGACTATAAAAGTACCAGCAGCGATGAAAACAGCACGTGCTTGTAAAGTGTGCAAATAAAAGCATATGATTTGAAGAGTTACTGTAATTGGGTATTACTGACCGCTCTGACCAGAGCACATTAGCATAGTCTTATTGATACATGTAATCTGGGCTTACAAAACATTTGTTGTAACTAAATGGATATTTTTATAGAAAATAGTGAATTTTATAGTCATCTCAGTGTTATCCTTCTGTTAGTGTCAGCCGTAGTGATGCCGGTGTAATTTACACACTTAACAATGATTAAAGAGTTCCCTGCAGCCAACTCACTAGAAATGGTTATTAAAAAGGATGTGATGACTATGCATCCAAGTGTGAACTATTCAAGGAGGCAAAGCCTGGGCCTCCTAGGAGGTAAGAGGTAAGAGGTCCATTGAGAGCCACACAAGGGAATCAATGTAGTCCCCCCAGGAGCCCTGCCCCCATGGCCTAGAACTGGGAAAGTTCCATAGGAAACTTGAAAAAAAATATGAGAAACAATATGCTCTGAGGGCTGGTGCACAAACTTGTATCTTACTGATGGGTATTACCTGATTTGTGATACGGATTTTACTTTAAAAAGGTCACCTAGTTGTGGTAACATAAGAAATTGAGTAACCACTTAAATCTTTGATACCTTGGTGTTACTATGACATACATGTAAGCATATGATTACTTTTCAATTACTTTATTTTTAAAAGTTTGATCCTTGACAGTTTTTTTAGAAAGGTATGGGTGTGATTTTTTTGGAAAAAAGCACATGTAATTTAAAATGGACTCTTGTAAGAACTTTGTTTCCGGTTCTCCAATCAAATGTGCAAAGTGAAAATGTTTTATTAGATACTTGGTCATAAAATATGTCATCAGTATCTTCAAATTAATTTAAATGTTATTTATGAAATAACATTTCACCATGGAAATCCCAGAATTGAAATGCTGTCAAATTGTTTCTGCATTCTTCATATTAAGAGATCAGGTTCACTGATTGCTTCGGCACATTTTTTTTTATATTGCACTTAACCTTGAGGGGAAAAAATGTCTTTGTATCACTTTAAGGTAAAGGTCGAGGGGCAAAGAAAAGGAAAGCATCTGGCTCAGAAAATGAAGGCGATTACAACCCTGGGCGGAAAGCACCGAAAACAGCAAGCAAGGTAATCAGGAGCCTTTTTGTGATGCTTGGTTTCCACAGTGATGTATGACTGCTATAGTTTCTTATTACTGTGATTGTGTATAACAGCTTCATCAGTACAGGCTTATAATATGGTTAAAGAATTATTGAGGTACATATAAACTTATGTACTAAGTACTTCTTGGATAAACCCTATTAATAACCCACTCAGATTATTCTAGTTGAGCAATTAGTCATTACAAGTTGGCCCTCGAACAACATGGGGGTTAGGGATGCCAACCCCTATGCATAGTCAAAAGTCCGCATATGATTTTTGACTCTCCTCCAAAATTTCACTAATAGCATATTGTTAACTAGAAGCCTACTGATAGCATACAGTGTTTATTAATATATGTTATGTACTCCACCCTTATAAAACGCTGCCTGTTCAACATGAGATATGAAGGTATTTTGCAAAAAGTACAGAGGTTTTGTGATTATGGCCTGTACAGCTTCATGCGTTTGTTCTTCATAATAGTCCTTACATTGGTTTCATTAATCTTGAAATGACAATTGCAGACATCAATTTAGGATATGTGTCGAGCAACATAACGGTTTCATATCACCTTTCTTTACCTCTTGAGAGCATTTTAAGCATCTACAGTGGCACTTCATTTGAGTCCTATTCAAAGTTTAAAGTATTGCACTAACCACAATGAAAAAACTTGAACCTCAGATCACTTTTTTGTGACACGCAGTTTATTGGAGAAAGGAGCTGCTCACGTGGGGATAGGCACGTGTACTGGACCCGCACGGTTCAAACTTGTACGAGTCAACTGTATGTGCATGGCCTGTTTAAACTATTTAGACTGCGTCAAGTTTGCTTTTTTGTAGGGATTCAAGTTGGATTTATTTGACTAAGGCATATTTGATAACTTTTAAACTCAAATTCACTTGAGTGTGACCAATTTTCCGAATTAATCTTGCTTTTCTCCAGAACATCATACTCTCTTGGGTAAATGAGTAGTATGTAGCTTGGGGGAGGAGTGCATTTTAAAGGCTAGAACTTGGTAAAATATGAGATCTCACCAAACTGATGACTAGATACCTGGCCTTAAACTTGAGTTAGCACTGCAGTTGATTTTAAAAGCACCAGACTTTGTAGTATTGCAGAAATGTAAGTGAAGTGTACAGAATGCTTCTTTGATATTTAAATTCTACTTTTATGAAATGTTTAGAAACCGAAGAAAACATCTTTTGATCAGGATTCAGATGTGGACATCTTCCCGTCAGACTTCACTGCTGAACCACCTTCTCTGCCACGAACCGGTAGGGCTAGAAAAGAAGTAAAATATTTTGCAGAGTCTGATGAAGAAGATGTTGATTTTGCAATGTTTAATTAAGTGCCCGAAGTGCACAAGCATTTTTCAACAAATACCGTGTTTGTTGTCCCTTTGTCTTTTCTGTCTCAGACTTTTGTACATCTGGCTTATTTTAATGTGATGATGTAATTGATGGTTTTTTATTATTGTGGTAGGCCTTTTAACATTTTGTTCTTACATACAGTTTTATGCTCTTTTTTACTCATTGAAATGTCATGTCTGATGGCTTGTAGAAATCGTTAGACAGCCGTGCATTTGCACAGATTTTAATTGTCCTGGTTGCAGACTACAGACCTGCTTTTTGAAATGAAATTTAAACATTAAAAATGGAACTGTGTTTTCGGTCTCTTTACTGAGTGGAGGTAATATTAAAAGCTCCCATACACACACCTTTAAAATAAATATATTTTATTTCTTTGCCAGGAGACTCCATGGAAAAAGGTAAACAGTATATGAACATAGAAAGCATTGTTAAACAATCTCAATGTACAAACAGAGCCAGTGAAGTACATCACAGACTTGCTAATATATATATATATATATATATAAAAAAAATCCACTAGTGCTTAAATGAGAACTAAGAAACTGACACTTGTATCTGTTAACCACTCTACCACAGCTTTCACTCTGCTTCATAGTGATTGAACAAAGGAGAACCCACATGGGCATGAATCTGGAAGGACACTAGCGTTCATGGTACAGGTGATAGAGCAGCCTGTGAATTATCCCATGAAATTTCCCTAATGGCTTGTGAACAGGTAAACAAAAACTTATTAACACTGAGAAGTGTTTTCTGCCTTGGAGGCTATCATTACTGTAAAAATGTAAAATTTTAAACTGTAGTTATATCATTAAACAAGTAATAAACCACTTTTAATTTAAAGTGACATTAACGATTGAACAAATGACACTGATTAACTGAACTGGCAGTTAAACTGATACAGAATTATCTTCTGCTAGTGCAGTGAATTTGTATACTTTTACTGGGCAACATGAAATGAAAGATGCAATTTGAGAGCATCAAAGAGCAAGGACAAGCTTCCATACTAACTAACTCAGAATTATCTTGTCATACTGTACAACAGCCCCAGTTCTCTCTCTGACCTTAGTGTCTTGGTGGCCCTGTGAAAGGTGGATACGTACAGTCTCTCTCACAGCCTTGGTGTCTTGGTTATTTTCAATATGCAGGACAAAAGGAAAAGCACCAAACGTACAGTCTAGAAAGAACAGTCAGACGTCTGTATGTACAAAGTCCTCCGAAAGGTAACCAGGGCGTCAATCATTTTGGTGGGGTCTTCGTCATGCATTTGTGGGTGCTCAAAGAGGAAAATAGAAGCTTTTAAACTGGTTGCATGAAATAGCTGATTTTTAGAATTTAAAGTTCGTATTTTTAGGTAAGTTAGACAGGAGTATACACTGATACATATGAAAACTTCTTGGTCCTTAATATATTTTCAGTCCAAAACTAAGCAGCAGTAAAAATGGTTTTTCTTACATTTTAAATCCTGGAACTGAGGGTAGTGGGGAATGTTTGAAAATGTCTCATTGCACCAGTGGTGACTGACTGACCCCGCTGTTCTCAGCGGAGCTGGATGAGATGCTAGGACTGTGCTCTGCTGTGTTCCCACTTGAACTGGGGGTCAAGGGTTCATGTCCTTCAGAATTCTCCAGCATTTCTTGAATGAGAGGTGGCATTGATCCCGGGATTTCCATTTTCAAGGTAATTACACGTTCTGCACCTTTTTTAAAGAGATAAAAAGAAATGTAGTGAAGATAACAGGGATCCAACTTACTTTTTTTTTTTAAAACAAGGTGTTTTCCTCAGACTTAATCTTGCTTATGAATAAATCCAGTTATAAAAACGCATCCATCTGTATTGAAAGGATCCACTTATTACTGCAGCTCTCAAAATACCTGTGTTTAGAAGGGCAACTGTAGCCATCAAAAGTCCCATTAGTGCATCATAAAGTCAGAATCTAATTCTTAACCAACCTAGGATCCCATATGTTAATAAGGGTCTCTACTATCTGATAGAACTTCACTCATTTTTATACCAGGTAATAGTAGAGATGACTGTTCCTTTTGATAACGGGAAATTGTGTGCTCAGTGCCAAGCCTGATTCTATACAATCACCATATTTGATCTGTAGAACAGCAGCAGATGTGGCATGCTGCAGTTTGTTTTCTGAAACTGACTGAGGCCTAGAGCTACCAATCTTGGAGATACTTAACGTGCTTTTTACAAAGAGAAGGTCCTGGTAAAGGACCAGAAGGGAGGAACCAAAATGCAGCGATTCCCAACGTAAGCTGATCTTTGCATTTGCACTGTCCAATAAAGGAGGCACATTGAGATTGACATTTGCTGCATGAAATAATGTGAAATTCAGTGCTTCGGTTACTTTAAGTACTGTGCATGCTAGTGACTACTGTATTGGACAATACTGAACATTGCCACAGCTAGTGAATTCTATTAGATAGTCAGCACTGGTTATCTATGGGGGGTGGCACTATGAAAGCGCTTCATTTGGAAAAAACTAAGGACATATCCACAACATTGTTCAAACCACTGGTATCTGCTGTTTACTTCTGCTGTGAATCCCATGCTAGGGACAAGGTCCAGATGGCTCCCTAAAGAAACCCCTTAAGCGGAGCTCAGAAATTGAGACTCCTTATCAAACAAATTCCCTGTGCTTTTCAGTATTTCTGAAATGGAGAAGGTCTCCTGGGAACGGTCCACGAGTGGGGGAGGGGACTGACAAATAATAGGACGCTTGGTTCCAGGGATAGCTGCTGACTTTTCTCTCTACATCGAAAAACTCTAGCACTCAACTATGATACACGGCTCTAGGCACTTCTGTAATTGCTGGAATTGCCACATAAACTGAAAATCACTAAGCAAAGAATATTTATAGCCCTCCAGAAGTCAGTCTGTAATAAGAGAGCAATGGCTACACTGAGAGAGCAGCTTTTTCTTGAAGGTTGAATGTTAGGGAAAAACAAGTCAGGCTTGACTGAATGGTGTGAAAATAGAGAACAAAAACGCCTTGTCACATTGAATGTTCACTAACCTAAGAAACCAGTTTCATCTAAATTTTGAAGCTCAAGATAACTGGATAGGGTAAGGTTTGAGGGGCTTTATTTTGGAGGGGGTAACATTAATTTCATTCTAATAAGAAATGAATTCTAAAATTAAAAAATATGTATCTACTATCAGATATCTTGAAGGAAAACTGGGTTTATATTAACACAAGTCCACTTAGTGACTATGGTGTGGGCTCCTAAGACATACCTTTAGCACTGATGCTCCGTAGATCTGTGATTTTCATTAAGATCTTTGGAAACATGTGAGGCTTGCTGGGGCGTCTCTTTCTGATATAAATTTTGAGTGCTTCCAGCAGTGGTTCTTGGAGCTTATCTACTTTTGTTGGTTCTTCAAGGTCTTGACGGTCTAGATACCAGGAATAAAATAGAAAAAAATTAGCATCAGGATTGAAAGAGTTGTGCACTTTCCAGGCTCGAGGACTTCTGCCCATTTGGTCCCTTTTCCCCTAGTTTGTTGTTCTATAGGACTTCAGACGGGTGATGATCCACAGACACATCTGAAGATCTCCAATGCCTTTACGCAGCAACACTGAAAATGATTGTTCCCCTCACAGGTTGAAAGCACATTTTGATGGTGTGCTGCTTTGCTTTTGACCTATAAGAATTCTTTTTCATGACCAGGAGGTGGCACTACTGAATTGAATATTTTTTTAAATCTTCAGAAGGATGCTTATGAAAGCAAAGTAAAATTGTCCCTTAAGTAAACCCATTTCTTCTCAACATAGAAATGTTAAAAACCACTTATGATTCAGCCTCCTGTGGGCTACTACGAAGAAGGGAGGCTGGGAGGAGCTTGTGGCAAGCCAGTGGATTATATTCCCAGCAAACAGCACATGGAAAGCCCTCTGATCATTATTCAGATGTCCCTAAGCAATTAGTTTTAGAGTTCATCTAATTCTGCCTTTTAAAAAAATACCTGTGACCATGGGAGAAATAACATTATTGGTATTTTTTTTCCAGAGGAAGAATCAAAATAGGATTCAATTCATAACAATATGGAAAAATACAACAACACACCCACGCACGCAAGCCCAGTTTCGCGCATGTGTATTTTTCCCTTAGGAGGAAAGTAAACTGACAACTCCATAATGGAGCCGAGGAATTCCCCACGAATTGCAATGGAGACTTTTTCTTCAGGGAGCCACCCAGGGCTTTCTAGGCAGGCGGTACCTCCACAGATTAAGCAGATGGCACTTAGAAGGCCCGTTTCCGTGTCATCCATTTCCAAAGGCAGGAGCTGGTTGGCAAAGGTGAACACAAGGTCAGTCAGAGGACCAAATCCTGCATTGTGCATCTGAGTTCGATTTAGGGTAAGGCCATCTGAAAAAGTCATGGTGTCCTGTTCGGGGGTATACCTGGTGCAAATTCTAAGAATCTGGAAGAAAGAAAACAACATATTTGATGGTCCATCTAAGCCAGCCCGTCCTCAAAGCATCAGCCAGATCTAGCCAGGAAATAACATGAACATTGCCAAAGAACTTCTACATGACATGGGGCCTCTCCTGCCCCTAACTTTTAGATGTTTCATGTCTTCTCCAGCTCTCTCAGTAAAAACACAGAGGTCAAAACATCTGGGCTCAAGTTATTTAAGAAGTAAGGAACAGGACAGGAGACATTTGGAGAAATAACTACGAAAAGTAATCCAGCATGGATTCAAATAAATACTTACTGAGGACCTACTTATACCCTAGGCTGTGTGCCACGTGCTGGGGATACAAAGATGAATAAGTTACTTTTTAAAGCACTGACAGTCTACCAAAATGAGAGACTCTCTACTATTTCTTAAGTACCTAGTACACATCAAGCATTCCACATGCCCTAGATCTAAACTTTCGAGTAGTCAGTCAAGCGAACTTTATTATTTTTAAAATGAAGGACTTGAGGCTCAGAAAGGTTAGGCAATATATTATTCCTTTTACAGATGACAAGCCCAAATAGTGTGTTCGCAGGGGTCAACACATAACTACTATGTGGCATGATTTGAATTTAGGCTACCTGTCCCCGGAGCCTAGACACTTAACTACCACTCCAAAGTTCCCACATTCCCTCCTGCATTAGTCGAACTCAGACAAGAAGAGCCAATCCTTGGCCCAGTGCCCACTTGCTATCAGCCCCATCTTTTGGGTGCCGTGTGTAGTACATGCCCTGCATGACTGCTCACGGTGATTGATCTCAGGCCAAGAAATGCACAGCCTGTGGCCTGGTAGCAGACATTTCTACAAACTTGGTGGTGTAGTGAATTATATGTTTGGCTGCTAGCCACAAGGCCAGCAGTTTGAAACCACTAGCTGCTCCTCAGGAGAAAGATGAGGCTTCCTATTCCCATAAAGAATGACAAGTCTCGGAAATGCACAGGGGCAGTTCTACCACCCTCCTATAGGATCATTAAGAGTCAGCATCAACTCGATGGCGGTGAGTTTGGTTAGTTTTTATGTCAGGGAGGGATTGAGCCACCCAAACTATGATATGCTCTCAAAATTCTTACTGCTACTGTGACCCATGTGGCACAGTGAACTGGAAAGCAACTGACGATGGATGCAAGCGGTACCCAACCTCACAGTGAGTGCTCCTCACCACGTGTGGACAGTGCTGCCTCTCGGCTATGTGTCAGTTCCTCTGGTTCCCAACCAGCTGGTTTTCACTACGCCTTGGCAGTTGATAGAGCATGAAGCCATTCCCACATCAGAGAAGGGAACCTAAAAATCATGAGTGCCACCCTGGAGGCTATGACAGGTAAGTGTAGTACCAAGATCACAAAAGCAGTAGTGATTCAGCTGAAGGCACCAGGTCTCTAGTTTCCAGTTTCTCCAATGACGTGGGAAGCACTAAGAACTGGTCTACTCAGTCAGGGCCAGCCAGAGGCCAGAAAGTACCCAGTGCTCTAAGTGGTCAGTGTGCTCAGCATTTCTGAACATAAAATCCCCAGGCGTGTTTCTAGTTTGGAATCAAATTGGTGAGTTTTGCAGCTTGTAACCCACAACTGCATCTTGAAGAATGAGAGAAGGTAGGGATTTACTAGGAAGATAAAGAAGACCAGGATGTAGGCATTTGCCAGTTGTAAGCAGCTCTCTGAGAGAGTCCAACCCAAACTGAATTGCACACACACCCCTTTCCAACTCTTTCATACTGAAGGATTTTCTTTCTCAAAAGTGGCAAAATACTTGGATTTTGCATCTAAACGACATCCCATTGCCACCTTCCCTGAAAGTTCAAAACCAAAGCATCTATAGGGTAGAGTAATATGTGACCTGGGCAGACAAACCATTTCTCCCACCAGGGGAGCCCTCCTGCCCCTCACAAGACTAGTCCAGTGTGCAGCAAGCGCCCTCCACCCACTCTGTGGCCAGAACTGCCTCCAAACCGAAACCAAGCAGTTTCATTTTGTCACAACTAAAGTCAAGTGCCAGTGGCAACCACCAAATTCTCCAGGATCAAAATACCCTTTGTTAGAAAGAAGAGCATTTTATCTAAAAATACTAGCTTGCGGGGCGGGTCTCATGAGATGGATAAAAATAGCCCAGGCAGGGCTGACTCACGAAAGAAGGTCCCTAGGGCCAGACAGAGCTCCTGTTCATAGTCAAAGCTGACCCTTCTCAGGGTAAAGAGGTTCTTCTCTCCTCGCTGTCCGCAAAGACAAGTCTATCTTTTCACTACATGTGATGGGAGTGTGAGTTCTGAGCATCCTCAGTGAGCCCACTGCTTGAGGCTGGAAGCCCGAAAGGAAGGGAGCTTGTGGGAGGTAGGGCCAGGGATTTGTCCACTTCTCTTCTTGCCCCAGTGACCACCTTAACCCCATCCACCACCTTCTCTCCTGCTGAGGGGGGTGTCTCAGAACTAGGCCCTATTTTCACTCATCCTTGGGTACAAAAACCATAGCCAGCACACCTATACATCTCAACATCTTTCTGTGGCTTTTCTGCTGACTTACCAATGTTTCATTGCTCCTACCTCCCCTTGCGCAGACCTTCTGCTCCACTTTGCCTTCGTTCTGAGTCTCCCAAACTCACTGCTGCTGCACTTACACTTCCTATCCCAGCTGCAGCAGCGTCCCCCTGATCCTATGGGGCTGGCTGCTTCCTATTCAGATCGCAGCTCAAACATCATCTTTGGTGCAGTGAACACCCTCCTGAGAACCCATTAATTTCCATCATAATGTCTTTTTTTTTTTTTTTTTAAAGCAAATGAGAAATAGAATTTTAAGTTGAGATATAACATTGTGGTCATTTAAAGTATGTCTATCAATTTCTGATTTCTCTCCCTTTTAGAAGGGGGACTCAGTTGCCCTCCACATGAGTGTGGACTCATAGATGGCTCTGTGGCTTCTCTGATAGCTCTTCTGAATCTCTTGGTCTGGGAAAAGCCAGTTGATAGGTAATGAGAACCTCTAGAAGTCTCATCCACAGAGCAAGGAGTGAAGCCCTTCCAGTAATAACCGGCACTCACGGGCCATCTTGGAAGACGTCCCCCAGCCAAGCCTAGCCCTCAAGAGTCTTGAGAAGCACTTCCTAAAGAGGCCCTGAGCCACAACTAACCCCCACCCCCAAATCCAGATTCCCAACCCACCCACCGGAATGTTATGGTAATGCTGCTTGTATGAAAAGCGGCTGAAGTGGGAGAACTATCACACGGCAATAGATAAGCACATGTCTTGAACGGACCCATCTCAGTTATATGGCTGAATGCATTTTCCCCTAAGCCTACACTGGTATAAGCATCCTCCAGTTCAAGATAGGGCTGTTTCTAGCACCCAAAGGCTCCCTTTGCTCCTCCCATACGGTTAAGGTTATTTTTGTCTTTAATTCTACAGGTTAGTTTTACCTTTTCTTGAACTTTCAGTAAGTGGAATTAAACAGTATATTCTTTATTTGTCTGGCTTTTATTCACTCAGTATCAGGTCTGAGCTTCGCCATGTGTTTAGTCCTTTCCACAGACATGTACGACTCCGGCCAGGTTTCTAGGGCTCTCCCTGAGCTTACTGGATGTTCACGCCGAGAAAGACCTCGCCTCTCTGTACTGCTCTGCCTTTGCACCTAGATCAGTTCCATCTACAGCATAGTGTGACGAGTGACTGCCGTGCTGAAGAAGGGAACTGAATTCTGCCATCCGACCCTGTCTCCCAGTGCTGCCCCCAGGGGACTTTCAGGACATTCTAAGCTGTCAGGCCGAGGTGAAAGCTCAAATTGCTCACTTTTTCCAGTCTTCACACTGATTGCAGTTGGCATCCGGCAGGCAGCTCTGGCCCTAATTAGACTCTTGAACCCCAAGTGCTTGCAGTCTGGTCAAGTAGTGTTTGACCAGACCACGCACACACACGGCACTCTGGGTGGCTGTTTTCCCTGGGGTACCCATCTGGGAGAACCTGTGGGAACCCCACGTGGGGCTTCTGGCACTGGGAATTAGGCACCCCGGCACTCCTCTTTCTCCCAACGAGCAGCTGGTGGTTTTCAACCACTTACCTTTTGGTTAACAGTGTTAACACAGGTTAACAGCTATACCCATGCATAGCCCAAGGTGCCACCAGGGTGGCAGGCTCAGGGCGATGGTGACAGCCACTGTAAATGAGAAACTATATGCAGATACACTAAGTGCTTCACAAACATCATCTCCACAACTTCACCAACAACCTCATTAGGGAGAATCTATCATATACCCACTGTACTGGTGAAAAACAGCAAAGCTCAGCCATGTCACAAAGCTGCTCTGAGGTCATATAGCTCACTCCTCAGGGCAGAGATGGGATCCGAACCCAGGTTCTGGCTCCAGAGTCCAACCCCTTAATTATCCTTAGTGCTCCACTCCAGGCTGGGGTCTGGTCTCTCTACGGAGCCCCTGAGGGGGGCAGGGCTAGGGATAGGTTCACGTGGGGATGGCCCGGGTGATGCTGGAGCCTTACAATCCTCAGGACCTCAGGAGCCACGAATCACGTCCTGCAGTCACGCAGGGCAGTCGCTCTTTTGTCACTAGAAGCAAAGTACTGCTGCTCTCAGGGGAAGGGCAGGAGCGGGTGGGAGAGCCAGAGCAGCTGTGTGTGTCCCAAGGGAAAAGTCCTCACACCTGCAGCTTGGCGACGCCCTCCACTCAGAAAGCAGCACGTTCTGCAACTGAGTCTTGCTCTTTACTTGACTTGCTCCTCTCCTCCTTCTGCCCATCCGTCCATTCAACTAGTCACCGCAGGCCTCTCCTATGCTGATGGCCCCCTGCGGTGGCCAGCGCTGGCTTCAGAGCTGACAGTTCAGTGCAGGAAACCCTGGTAAACACATTCCTCTTGACCAAATGTACCAAGTGCAGGAGAGACGAACAGCTAAGGGTAGGCTGTGAGAGGCTGGTCAGGGAAGAGGAGGTGTGATTGATGAAGCGAGGCAGGTGAGAGAAAGGTATTCTAGAATGACCTAAATGGGCAAAGGCTCTGGGTCAGAAAAGAGAATGATAGAGGTCTGAGTCAGTGGGGAGGGGGCGCCTGTGAGAGGAGGGGCAGTTTGGCAGCCCTCCCCCCAGCCCCCCTGACAAACGGTACCTGCCCTTCTGAGGCTGCAGTTCTCAGACACTCGGGAAGTGTCTGTGGGGCGACCTGGCAGGAGGGACACTCCTTCCTCCCCAAAGGTCTGAGTAGCACTGGCCCCTCACCAACCAAAGGGGCTGATATTTAATCCTGCCTTTCAAATGACAAGTGAAGCAGCCTTACCCTACTCCAGAGATTTAATTTCATTGTGAGCATGACAGTTATTGAGTCCTCCATCAGCCATCAAAGTCCTTAAGGAAGCAAGTTATCTCCACATTGGGAAGTTCCTTTTCTCCACTTTCTTTCTGAATCAGTTTATTCGGGGCTCATACAGTTCTTATCACAATCCATCCATCCATCCATTGTGTCCAGCACATTTGTACATTTGTTGCCATCATCATTCTGAAAACATTCGCTTTCCACGTGAGTCCTTGGTTTCAGCTCATCTCCCCCCACCCCATGAACCCTTGATAATTTATAAATTATTATTATTTTGCCATATCTTATACTGTCATTTTCCCTTCTCTTTACCAGAGGCCCAACCCTCCCTCTGGGGAGCCCAGTAGGCTGCTGGCTCCCACCCAGACTGGGTTGCCTCATTTGCAAAATGCGGATGCTAACAGGACTTCCCCGTAGGGTGTGGAGAAGCTCAACAGTACAGAAACAAGATGTAAGGTAACTGAGGCCTACCCGTGCCAAACACTGGTTTAGACCCTGTCAGGAGTCTGATTGCTTTCACTTTAAAAGGGAGGAAACTGAGGTTCATTTCCCAATGTCCCACAGCTGGTAAGCATGAGTCAGATTTTTGAGCTCGGGCTGGCTGGCTTCACCGCCTACACCTGCACTTCCACCCAATGCTGGGGCAAGTCAAAAGGGGAGCCAGATCAGGAGGAAGCCATTTAGAGAACACAGTGGGAGGGGAGGGCAGGAGCCCTGCTTAAACATGGCCTTCAGGCTGGGCCAAGGGCCAGCTCTAAGTTCCAGGGAGGCGGGACCTCCCTGCTATCACCTCATCCCCACCGTCCTTGGCACAATCTGTATGAGACTCATTCTTTCAACCAATGCTTCTCTGTGCTGCACACAGGACAGAAGGAACTTCTTAACACAGAACAAGCCAGACTGTGGCGCAACTCGGCTCAAAAGACAACCTATCTGCATCTCACGGCCCACTCCTCTGGTCTCAGGTCCTCCTGCTCAAACCTGCCCCTTCCTGCCCCACTGCCACCCACCTCACAGCCTCTTCCTCCCAGTTCCTCAAATGCACCAGGAACACTCCTGGCCCAGCACCTTTGAAGTCTGCTCTCCCCTACTGGCAGGCACACCGCCCAGCCCTCCAACCTTCCCATCAGCTTTTTCCTGGTTCTAGCACTTTCTATTGCTTCATTCGGGCCTTTTCAAAGGTCATCTGCTTCCGAAAGGTCTGTCCTTGCCCAGTCCAGACACTGTTCCTTCATTCAGCCCACATTGATCTTTGTAGCCCTTAGAGCCCTGCCAAGCCTAGTCCTGTGTTTGCTGATTTCCCTTTGTTCCCATAGAAGGAGAGTTCCCTGAGGGCAGGGATGGGTCTGTTTGGACTCTGTTGTTCTCAGAGCCTATGAAAGTGCCTGATACACAGCAGGCCCCTCGTGAGTATTTGTGGAAGGTGGGCGGACCTAGAGGAGGGAGAGGAACCAAGTCAGATAGCCTCCAGGGTGGGTGATTTCCTGAGATTTTGGCTGGGAGAGATGGGATGCTAACTATCTGCAGCTAAGAGGCCCTTGCGAAGGAGCAAGGGATGGGTGACGGAAACGGGGAGAGAGGAGCTGAATCACGAAGGCAAACATGAAGGTAGAGCTTGGGCAAAGCGGTCACTGGCCGGGCGCCCCTGTTTGCTCTGCACGTGGGACTAGAATGCTACAACTGGGCGCAAAGGGAACGGGAAACCCTCCTTGTACTGAATGGCTATGAAGAGGTTTCCCATCTTTAGAAAGAACCTTTGGCTACTTCTCCCTGTGGGAAATCATGAAATCCAGTGTTGTACCCCAGAATCCCTCCCCTGAGTCCTGGCTCCGGAAGTGAGGCTGTGGGCTCCCATCAGTCCAACCCCAGGACTGGGATTTGAAGCCCTCTGGAGGATTGCAGGGAGTGGGACAAGGCAGGCTAAAGGCTATCCCTGCCCCTTAGACCTGCTTCACTGGGGTGCCTACCTCATAGTTACAAATTAACTCTCCCCCAGAGGCTTGGCAGGCGTGCAATCACGAATGGCCCCATTTCGTCAGGAGAGGACACACAACACAGGGACAGCACTCAGTCAGGGTGGTGGTGACCTTGGGACAAGCTCAGCTTCCATTTTTAGAGGCTGAGAACAGCCTCTGCCTGTCTGTCCTTTGGGTCTGCCTTGGCCTCGCCACACAGTAAATGGCTCAGATAAGAAGAGCCTTCTAAACAGCTGTCTGCTCACAGTCTCATCCCAAAGACGCTCTTTGAAGTTGTGCATTTTTCAGGATCTCGTGATTAACTGCCTTTGCTACAAATTCTTGAAAATGAGCTCTTGTCTGGGGCTTGTTTCATCTCATGACTAGGTCTTTGCCCTTTCCCTGGCTAGGGGTCTCCCTCCATTGCCTTATGAACAGACACCCTTACTGAATATACTCCCTAAGGCCAGGAAGGAGTGGTTATAGTTTTCCGACTCCTGACCCAGGGGCTGGAATTGCTCAGACAGCCTTCACCCAGCCCTGTCCCGGCATCCTCCATTACTGACTGAGCCTGGGCTAAGGGCCATTACCATCTTCAGACGCTCCTTACTTAAGCAACCACTGAATCACTTGAGGAAGGTCCCAGAAATGGGCCCCGTAGTAGCTCACTCCCTGAGGGCTACGGGCGGATTCTGGACGTACAAACTGGAAGCCGTGCTGCAGGATTTGGGGAGGACACGGCTAAGTGTGAACATGAGACGTGAGAAGGCAGCTTGGAGGGGAAAGGGGGACTTGAAGGCACAGACTGCTCAGGCAGCATGGAGCTCAATGTAAACAAGATGGTGCTGTTAAGAGAGCGCCCATTCCCCTCATTCTCTATCTTTCCCATAGAGCTGGGGAAAAATTGTCACCAGCTGGCCACTGGACCAAAGCAGCCGAGGGCTACGGTCAGAGTTGGAGCACTGAGAAAGCTGTCCGCTCCCGGCCCTGCCAGGTGCCTGTGTGATGCGTAGGGGTGAGAGTCCGCACTTTCCCCAGGCACAGGCGGTGACGGGCTGCGTGGCACCTTTTATCGTTTGGATAACTGCAGTCTCTATCGGTACTTCAAAGATGTTCTGAAGCCCAGGGAAAATTCTATAGAGCTGGCATACTTGAACTGCTTGTGAGGAGAGCACTAGAAGGTTGTGGGCATTCTCGCTAATTATTCTAATAGTTCATTATGAGCAGGATTCATCTGTCCAGGCTGCCTCTGTCAATCTGGGGTGCTCTCGCTGCTCGTCTGTCTCCCTGTGAGCCTCATATCTCAGCCGTCCCTGCCGGCTCCTGTTTATGCTTCCCGCCCTCTTCTGCCTGCACGTCCCCTAATGACCAGAGCACCCAAACACCGACGCGGGTCTCAAGGTGTGCTCCAGCATCCAGTGCTGTGTGACTTCACGACCCACCCAGGGGACTGTGTCCATTACCCGTGTCACGGAGCTGAGTAGGCTCAGTGTGCTGAAGTTAGCCAGCTCAACAGGGTTGCAGTGTCGTGAATTCATGCAGCGTTCATAGTTACTTATCTATACTGTTTGGAGGCTTACCCCAAACCTTCGGATTTGAAGAGGAAAAAAAAAATACTGGGTCTGGTCTCAGGACCCCTGGCATCTCTCTGTTACTGAGGAATCAGCAACACTCGCTCATCCTATAGTCTATGGACTAGACAGAAGGACACGGGACACTGGGGCCCCCCCTGGACCCTCCCCTCCTTCACCCCATTTTCAGAGGGAACGGGTGTGTTTAATTATACTAACTATTGGCTTTTCAGAATGGTTTATACACAAAGTTTTGAAAGATATGAACGAAAAAAAAAAAATCAACGATTTAGAAAGCAGTACAAAAGTGAATTCTACTTTCCTTGTTTCCAGGCGCTTCCTGGGCGGGCCTGCCCTGCCACACCCCCCTGGCCCCTGCACTCCTGCCCCAGGCAGGGCACAACATCCCTGTGCTGCCTCTCACCAGAGCTGCTTCCTCAGCCAGAGCATCACAGGCCCAGTGGCCCCCGCCCCCACCCCCCCAGTGGCCCACGCCCCCACCCCAGGGAGAGAAAGGGTAATATTTGGCATCTGCCCCCCAGCTCTGCCCGTGAATGTGACAGGAATGATAGTGCGCAGGGGTCCCCTTGGCCCGATTGCAGAAACCAAGGCCCTCCCAAAGATGGGTGCTCCTGAATTCCCAGAGGGCCTGGTGTGTGATCAGTAGTGGAGCCCCTAGTTGGTTTAGCCCATGGAAGCCCACTGAGTCTCTGGGAGCCAGCGGGTCTGTCCTGAGGGAGGGGAAACCAGCTGGGAGGAAGCTGCTCCCACTCACTGGCCTGAGGAGCTCTCATTAGCAGGCCATTGGGAAAGCTGGCTTTGGCAGCAGGAAGCAGTTAACCCAATCCCAGGAGTGGGAGAGCAGAGTGTGGTAGGCTTAAGACACTGGGCATAGGGTTCAAAAATGCTCTGCTGTAGGCCAGGGGTCTCTGGGCTTTTGGCGACTGAATGGAGTTTCAAGCTCGGAGGACAGGACTCAGTGTGCACAGGAGGAGTGGAAAGCCAAAGCTCCTGAGGAGACCTTCCCAAGGCCCCAGTCTCCTCCTTCCCACCCTCCTCCCCTGCCCATGTCTGCGTGGGGAACAGCACCTACCAGGATGTCTAGGCAGGCGGCCTTTAGCAGGGTGATTTGGTCCGCGATGGTCAAGCCGGTGAAGCCCGGAAGACGTTTAGCAAACTCCACAATTTTAATAATGCACTTGGTGGCCAGTTCACTGAATTTGTCCCAGAGGCCCAGGTCCAGTCGGACTCGATGGTCAGCGCTGGAATTCTAAGAGGGAGAGAAACACACCATCAGGCCTAGTTTCGGAGAACCCCGATAGTAAGCAATGCTCTCTACCAATATGGGAGAAAGACTGGGCTTCCTACTCTGGGAATGCTTCTCAGCCTCAGAAAACCCCAGGGGCTGTTCTACTCTCCCACTGATCGCTATGAGTCAGAATTGGCTCCAAAGCAGAGTTTGGTTTGGGGTTGTATTAACAAGCTGATGGGTCAGCTTTCAACAGGGAGCTTTCTGGTGGAACGGCCGGGTCTCTGGCCGTGATTCCTCTTGTTGATGTGGCCCCAGCTTTCTGCCTGTGCCACTGTGGAGCCCTCAGGGCTGTCAAGTCAACGATGACTCATGGAGCCCCCACAGTAGACCTGTGCTCTACAGAGTTTTCCAGATGTGGAGCCCCAGGACTTTCTTCCAAGAGGCCTCAGACCCCAACTCTCAGTGAATAACAGGGCTCAAGCTGTCTGCAGGAAGCAAGAAAGCAAAGAAGGGCAATTTCTTTGTACTCAAATATTCCAGTTAACAAGGGATGAATTTGCGATAGACTGTAGAGCCAATTTTTGTCACCCTGATGAATGGATGGCTCTAGGCTTTGAGCGAGGTAACCTGGTAGTATAGTGGTTATGTGTTGGGCTGTGCCTTCAAGGTCAGCAGTTTGAAACTACTGTGAAGGAGAAAGACAGGGCTTTCATTTTCCATAAGGAGTTATGGTCTTGGAAGCTCACCATGGTCGTTCCACTCTATCCTATAGGGTGGCCATGAGCCCGAGTCAACTCCTTGGCAGTAGGAGTAGGCTTTAATCATCAGTGGTTACTAACTTCTAACATGAGACAGCCTGCCATTTTGTCCCCCAGTGGCAGAAATACAACAACCTCTATGAAATACTCTGGCCCCAAATCAAACCAGAATCAGAGAGAGCGTCTAGATCCAGAAGAACATTGAGGAGACACAAGACCCTGGTCAGTACCATCATGGGGATGCCATGTCAGCGTCCAGAAGGTAGAAACTCTTAAGAACCACTGACCTGGGTGTTTTCAACAAATATGTTGAGAACAAAGGAAAAAAGAAGAAATGGAGCGAGAAATCTATAGATTCAAAGGGATTCAAATGTTAACTGGCAAATGGTTAAATAGTGCAAAACTCAAACTCAAAAGCAGTATGCCAAGTGAAAGAGGCCATATATCAAAGCCTAATGCCACCTGACTCAATGCAGATGACACTCTTAGGGGAAGAAAAAGAAAAATCTAGGCTATAGTGAAAGGTTAATAGGTGTCCAAAGGTTAGCAGGTACAGGGAGGTGCTGGCCACAAAGAGGAAGAAGGGTATTTGGGGGAGTGATGAAAATACTCTATCCTCTTGACTGGGGTGCTGGTTACGAGGCTCCATATTTTTGTCAAGCTCATCTAACAGTTCATTAAAAACATTACATTCTATAAGTTTTTTGCAGGTTTATTTTTTATATATTTGTATTGATCACTTTACTAGGGAGCTCTTAAAAATCTTACAATCCATCATTTAATTTTATTAAGCACACTTGTACATAAGTTGCCATCAACATTTCCAAAACATTTGTTTTCTACTTGAGCCCTTGGTATCAGCTGCTTTTTCTCCTCCTTCCCACCCTCGTGACTCCTTGATCAATTATACATAATTGTTATTTCATATCTAACACTGTCCGTTGTCTCCCTTCGTCCACATTTCTGTTATTTTTCCCCCTTAGGGGGAGAGAGCTATATATCCAACCCTGTGATGGGTTCACCCCCACCCCCACCCCAAGATATCGCTACTCCCACTACTGTTCCCCAGAGATTTATCTGTCCCAAATTCCATGTATTGAGAGCTCTTATCTGTACTAATGTGTGTACTCCAGTCTAGCCAGATTTGTAAGGTAGAACTGGGTCGTGGTAATACGGGGGAGGAAGCATTGAGGAACTAGAGGAATGATGTGGGTTTCATCAATGCTGTACTGCACCCTGGTTGAATTGCCCCTTCCTTGTGACCTTTCTGTGGGGGGATGTCCAATTGTCCACAGACAGGCTTTGGATCTCCACTCCAGCCCTCTTTGTTCACATCAATATAATTATTAGTTTTGGATCTTTTCCTCATGATCACATAGGCTGGTGTGCTTCTTCCACGTGGGCTTATTTGATTCCCTGCTAGATGGCTGCTTGTTGAATTTCAAGCCTTTAAGACCCCAGACACTATCTTTTGATAGGTGGGCACCATCAGCTTTCTTCACCGCATTTGATTATGCACCTATTTTGTCTTCTGTGATCATGTTGGGAAGGTGAGCATCAAGGAGTGTCAGGCTATGAGAACAAAGTGTTCTTGTGTTTAGGGAGGCCTTGAGTAGAAGCCCAAAGTCCGTCTGCTATCTTAATACTTTATATATAAATATATGCACATTTACCGTATCATTATAAATTAATATATTTACATATATACATGCCTATAGCTATACCTCTATAAATAGCTTCTGCCTCCTAGTTCCTTCCTCTATACATTATATAACTTACACCTTAATAAACCTAGATTTAAAAAGAGATTTAGGGAGCTTATCAGTCAAATTGCAATGCGTAGGCTTTCCCTTCAGTTCTGATTCAAACAAACTGTAAAGAAATTGTGACTTGAGCAAACTGGGAATTTGCAACATTGTAGAATCACTGTAGTGCTATTTGAGGGGGCGTGATCATGACACTGCTGTTGTGCTTTTTTCTATCTTCCAAAACATTCAAATATTTACAGATAAAATGATGCTTGGAATTCGCGGCATAGCAACATGGAATGCAGAGTGGGGGTGGGTGAGTTGGGTCCAAGAAATGAAACCAGATTGGCCACAGAACGATCGCAGGGCTTCACGGAGTAAAGCAGACTCCAGCTTTCCTATAGCACGTGTTGGGGGTTCCCATAAAAAAACTCAAAAGACCAGAAAGCACACAGGCTGAAAATTAGAGGATAAAGCCTGACGGTGTGTGGCCCGGGCCTTCTACCGCAGAGCAGAACTTACCGACCAGACGCTGGCGCTCGTGTCCTATGCGCTCCCAACATGCAAACGGTTTACAAGCGGGGCCTACACCTCACACTGGCTTCCGTTCCCACTTCAGGCTCAACGCCGTCCACGGGGGTCTCTAAAACTAGCCCACGTGTTCCGTGTGGCCCAGGAGCCACAAAGAGTGCCATCTCTATCAGCCAAAGCGACGGCCAGTGCCGCCCTCGGCGTGCCTCCTCC